AATCCACACTACTGCGAGGCAGGGATTTATCCATATCCACCGCCTGTGAACCGACGTCCTGGTGGCCCAGCGGGCTTTGGATATGGATACATATGGGCCCCTGGGGGGCCCGAATCTGTCCACATCCACCGCCTGCTGGAGCCCCAGAGAATCGATCCTCCAGGCGGTGGTCATGCACACACTCCCCCCTCGGAGCTACTGAAACAAAAGCGTCGAGACTGGAGGGTGCATGCGGACTCGTCTGGCATCGACACCTCGCGGCGGCACAAAAAAAAACTGCGACGGGTCGCGCCGAGGGGCCTGCCGCGGAGCGCGCTGCAACGGGCGAGCGGAGCGGCCTCATGCGGCTCCTCCTCCTCCTCCTCCTCTTCCTCCTCCTCCTCCTCATCCTCATCCTCATCCTCCTCCTCGAGCGGAGCAGAGGTGGTCAAGAGGTCACAGCTTCGAACAACCGCCAGGCCCAGGGCCCGAGGCCGCGGAAGCCGTGAGACTTGCTTCAAGCGCTGCGGGCCCCCTGCTCGCACGCACCCCTTCCCAGTCCCAAGTCTACGTGTACAGGGCAACTTAAAACATTGGATGTGTATTACATGATTAATTCATGAATAAAAGTATGCATGAACTCATCGTTGTTTTTGACACTCAATCCCTGCATTTTTAATACCTGATCCGCACGCGGGGCGTGTATTAGAGAACGGCAGTGTAGTCACGCGCACACATCTCGGGGGTGATCTGGGGGGCCTCTTTGGCCGTCCGTGCCGCGCTGAAGACTGGGAGGGGCGATGATGCGAAGGTTCTTCAAACACCCAAGGAACGTAGACGATCACGGCATAAACTTCGACAATCCACCAATGCTTGTGCAACTCGCCGTAGCTCCCCCGGCAGACACATGCATTGCGCGGAAAAGTGGAGAATCTACACCATACACTCGCACGAACAAGCAATGCACAACTTGCTTGCCTGAATGGATATCCCAAATGCGTTGAAAGCCACGCCGATTCCGACAGACTCAAGAAGGAATATGTCTACAAGGAGCAGAAAGATCACGACAGCCACAACAACTCTTCTGCATGGACCCGGAGAAAGAATTACTGGCACCACAACGCATTGAATTCCGAGAGTCGCTATGCCAAAACAAGTAGTGAGGAATCCGCAACTCAGAAAGCGGCGCGTTAGCATCGACATGAATGGCCCTCCCTGGACCCAATGGAGGTCTGCGTAATCGCGGAAAACTTGCTGCAACCTTGCTGTACTCCATGACAGAGCACCGCCTACAGGCAATTTTGCGAAACTGGGGCTGGAGAGAAAGTAAATACACAAGCCTAACATGACTCCATGCAGGATGTCGTTGCCATAGAACATAGCGAACGCCCAGGAGCCATACTTTGGACGGTAATCGCGATGGCTGTTGCTCAAGTCAGCCAAGCAGTATGCAGACATGAACAAGGCAATCAAGATGCGGATGGCTGCGAGCTGGGGGAGCGCGGCCCCCACGAAGCAAAAGACCGGTGCTGCGTGGCAAAGCGGCACATACAGGTTCTGCCTCCGCAATGGTGCCATGAAACCAACCAGCTGCTGGGAATATGTCCCGGCCTGGTCACCAAAGATCACTTGGTTGCAATCCTGTGGAACTCGTAGCCAACTCCAAAAACATACACGCCCCAAGCTGTCAATAACCCACCACCTGACAATCCATAGAACATACTGGCAATTGTCTGAGGAGATGAAGTTGGCCCAGACATTGCGCACGCCATCAGGCTCTCGCTCGATTGGGTGCGAATTTCTTCGAACCTTACATATTAAACCAAACTTTCTTGAGCCCCTTTGAGCCAGAAAGACTGGAGCAAAAATGGTCACGGAGGGTTCATTTGGGCGATCTTGGGGGTTCCTTGGCCGTGCGGAAAGTTCTGAAAACGAAAAACGATGATGCTGGAAAAGCGCATTCCCCCGAACGGTTTGCGCGATTCTTCCGTCTTGGAGCACACTTCGGGGTCCTTTTGGGGCTGGCTTGAAGCGTATTTGGGGCCTTGTGGGTAGTCTTGAAGCCAGCGCGCGCAGTTTGGGGGGCTGTTGCGCCGTACTGAAGCGACCGTTCGGGCCTTTTTGGCTGTCGGGAGGCAATGGAAACGATGTGGGTCCGTCTGAAAGCCGTGTTCGGAGCGCCGGGTGCGCGCGAGGGGGCTGAAAATCAGTAGGTAATAGAAGGGTGTGGGCCATCCCCAGGGATTATAATAGGAAAAAGAACGCATGTAGATGTGAACATAAAAATATAAACATGTGTTACACACATGCTATATATATATAGATTGCGCGTGTATGCGTTTATGCATGCATGCATGCATGTATGTACGTATGCATGCATGTAATGTACGTGCATGTGTATGGGTATGTGTATGTGTCTGTGCATGTGTGTATGTATGCATGGTCGCGTGTATGTTTGTATGTATGTGTGTATGCATGTGTATGTATGTGTGTGTATGTGTATGTGTATGTATGTACGTATGTGCATGTATGTGTGTATGGCTGTGTATGTGTATATGTATGTATGTATGTAGGTATGTGTGTACGTGTATGTATGTATGTACATAAGTATGTACGTACGGATGTATAATTGTAGGTACACATGGATGCTTGTATGCATGCACGCATGTATGCATACATGCATGAATGCGCCCATGCATGAATGCGTGTATATATACATATATATATATATATGTGTGATCATACTATTATGACCCGGACCCCCCCCCCCAGACCGGACCCCCCCCAGGGACGCCCTGGACGCCGTTTCGGACGTCGCAGCGGCCCCCTGGACGCCGTTGGAAAAGGTCCGCTGGCCCTTCCGGGCCTCCCAAGGCGCCTTGCCGGACCTTGCGAACAGACTCGATGCGATCTGAAAGGTCATCGGAGAGGAGCAAGAAAGAACCAAGACAGCACAAGAGCGCTCCAAGAGAAACCTCGATGGTCTGAAGACGGCCCAAGAAGCCCCCAAGACACCTCAAGAGGCTGTTAAGAGAGCCCCGAATAAGCAAAAGTCACCCCATTCCCTCCGGAAAATGTATAAGTTTAACATATCCGCTGTTTGGGACTTCGCAGCTTCCTAGACGGCCCGATGGGCCCCCGATATCGCACCAAGACGGCCCAACAGGCCCCCCAGAGGGCTTGAAGACGGCCAGAGGGGGCCCCAAGACTGCCCCAGAACCCCGGGACTGCCTGCAAGAAGCCCAAGATGCCCCCAAAGGCTCCCAAGAGAGACCCACGAAGGTTATGGGAGACCCCCGAGAAGGACATTGGAGGCCCCCAAGAGGGGCCTAGATGGTTCCAAAAGAACTGTGGGAGGCCCCAGCTCCCCAAGACGGCCAAAGAAGGCCCCGGGACGGCCCGACAGGGCCCCAGGACGGTCCAAAACACCCCAAAAAACGCTCAGACGGCGCTTCCGAAGAAGTACATCGAGCTGACCCGACGATCTTGGTTCCACGCTTGAGGCTCGAGGCTTAAGTTCCTCGAGCGAGAGAGACAGGCAATGGATCTGGATTCGAAGATCGGCGATCAGAGATGTCCTGAGTGCCAGCAGCCCTCCAGGCATTCAGAGAGCTACCAAAAATCGGTTTGTTCGGAGCTACTGCGACTTCTTCGGCGTGTCATCGGAACGCTCTTTACTTCCTCAAAGGACCCTCGCGTGTGAAAAAAACATCATCCCTTCCCCCCTCTTGCGCACAAGCGTGCAAGCGCATCGGGCGAACGCGGTGTCAGCAGGCACCAGGGATATCAGAAAAATGAGCCGGTCGCCCGTCCAGTCTTCGAGGTCCCCCCCGCTGAAGGAAGCGATGATGTATTGTTTTGCCAGGGAGGGTCTGGAACAAAGCGCTTGGCGCGAAGAGCCAATGCAGTCTCTTGGATATATATATATATATATATGTGTGTATATACACATACACTAGAACCAGGCACGAGCTTCGCGCGCAATTTTTTATATATAAATATACATACATACATACATACATACATACATACATACATACATACATACATGCATACATACATACAGGCAGACAGACAGACAGACAGACAGACAGACATACATACACTAACCACGCGCGCTTCGCGCGCGCCTAGGTTCTAGCACAGTCGAAGCCAACCTCACAAGATCGGAAGGGCATGGACATCGTCCCGCAAGGGTGGCCATATGGGAGCGTACTTCCTGGTGGATGCTTCAGGAGGCGCTGAATAAGGCTCCAAGAAGTCGCACAATGTGCCCAAGAGGAGGACCCAGGGCAGCCTAAGGGGGGGGGGGGGGCGAGAACCCCCAAGAGCCTGGCAAAACCATGCTGGGAGTCTTTTTGAATGCCTTTGGGGGACGTTATTGAGGTGGAGCATCCCTGTTTTTGTTGGGAATCTTCTGGTGGCCTCTTACACCTTGTTTGGGGCGCTTCGGGGGTCTGCCCGGGGCTTTTGGCACCTGGGCTCGAAATGCCGGTTTGGATCCTGGCTACCGTCTGGAGAGCCTCTTGGGCCGTCGTGGTGGCATCTGGGGCCGTCTTGGCGCTCTCTCTCCTCTTGGCGTGTTCCCCTCCTCTTCCTCTTTCCTCTTTCTTATTATAGAGGAAAAAGGAAGTGGGAGAGGAAGAGGACGTATAACAAGAACGAGGAAAGAGGAAGGTCCTCCTCCTCCTCCTCCTCATCCTCCTCCCCCTCCTCCTCCTCTTCCTCCCCCTCCTCCTCCTCCTCCTCCTCCTCCTGCAGAGCATCCTCCTCCAGTAGACTCTTGCTCTTGCGCTGGTCCATGTCTGCGCGGCCTCTCAGGGACTCCTGGGAGTGTTCTGGGGGAGATCTTGGTTGTCAGCATCTTGGGGGTCTTGGGGGCTATTTTCGGGGAACAGCCTATCTCGGGGCCTTCTTTCGGTCAGTGGAGCACTCCACGGTCGCGAATTGAATGTAAGAAGCGCATGTGTATGCGTCGGGGTACGTAGCCGGTGAGGGAAGGTGGCGGCAGCGGCACGGTCCTCGGTGTCGTCCAAATCGTCCTTGGACCAGATGACGCCAGAATTGCCCTTGTCCGTCTTCAGGACCTCCAGGAGCTCCTCCTCCTCCACCCCATCCTCTGTCACGACACAGTCGACCCGTATCAGAAGAACGCGCGACAAGGATGCAAGGGCCTTGGGAGGCCGTTTCGAAGCTTTTCAAGCTGGGCGCGGCCAACGAAAGTGGCCAGGGGTGGACCGAGGAGGCTAGGATGCAAAGGGTGCCCTCGGGGAAACTGCCCGTCCTCTTGCTATGCGGGCTGGCTGTACGTTGGGACAGGATGTGCCCCCTCCAAATTTCGGGTCGGGCGAAAGGGGGGGGATAGCAAAGGGGGGGGGGAGAATCAGCTCACGTAGCTGCGGAGGCGCCTATGTATCGAGGAATGGGCCCCTCGGTGGGGCCGAAACCAGCTGCATGCAGCAACTTTCGTAACCCCCCCTTTCCCCAAACCCCCCCCCCTTCGTCGGGCCCGATGCAGGAAAGAGCCCCGAGCGGCAGAAAGTCTGGCTCCGGCTGCTGCTGACACCAACCACGACGCACACTCCGCTCGCTCCGATTCGCAGGGCGCCTGTCTGACTCCACACTGGAGCCTCTCGCGCGCCTCGAGCACGCGGGCGATGCGCTGGCAGCGCCCAACCCTTCATAACCTCACAGCTGCACGCGTGTGGATACCCAGTCACTGCCTGGCCGTCGACGGAAGAAGTCACGGGAAAAGGGACCTATCAGACGTGGGTACACCCGTACAAGTTCACCACGAGGCCAAGCGACGCATGGGAAGACAGCGAAGTTGGTCCGAAACAGTGCAACGGCGGTGCATCGAAAACCATTGCCATGGAAACCGCATGCAATGGCAATAAAACGAGATGCAGAGCAGCAAACAATATTGCAATTCGCCGGCCCAACGGGCCAGAGGCGTGCTAAGATCTCCGGTAACTACTTAACAGTATTTCTAGCTCGCGCGCGCGGGGCGGCCCCTGGGGGCCCCCGGACGAAAAGTACCCTGGCTAATCCCCGGCCGAGTCCCGGGCGATCCCCAGGAGGGAGGCTATTTTTCGCCACACCTCACGAGATAGGTGGCCTCCGAAGGGGTGGCTGCAATCGACCAACCCCCCTCCCGCCCGAAGGGGCCCCCGAGAGCCCCCTAAGAGGCCCCAGGGGAGCCTAAGACGCCGCCAAGGAGCCCTAAGACGCTCCCAAAAAGCCCCCAAGAGGCCCCCAAGACGGCCGCCCCAAGAGGCCCCAGCGCTCCAGGGCCGGCGGAATGAGCGAAGCGATGAAATAAAATATTAAACATAGGAAGTACAAGGTAACGGAATGGAAACGGAAACAAACCCGCGATCTGAACAAAGCACAAGGCAGAGCACATGGAATGCCAAGGCTACGCATCTAAATAAAATCCGATTCAGCACCATGATTCAGCACAATGATTCCCACGAACCCAAGAACTTCAGGGTATTCGGAGATCGGGACACGCTGGGACGGGGAAGCCAGCGAAAGAACCAAGGGAACCCAGAGCTGGGGGTCGCAAGTGCCACCAGGTCTGTTGCACAAAGAGAATGGAACAGAGAGACACGAGTGGAAGACGGAGGATGGAGAAGTGAGGAGTTGGGCGGGAGGAGGGACGACGAGAGAAGAGAGGACGGGGGGGACAGCGGAGGGAGGAGGATAGACAGAGGAATGGGAAGGAGGGAGCAAGGATGCAGGAACGAGGAAGGAGATGGGAAATGAGGGAGTGCGGGGAGTCAGGGTTAGGTCGGGCGTGTCCCCCTACAGGCGGATTATGGACGAAAACAGTATCTATGTATATAAACGCTCAAAAATTATCAAATAATCGTCCCCTGACATGTTTCACTATTTACCTAACAGCTTTTGCTGATAGGTTTCTAGTGGACTCAAAAGAAAGCATCTGATGACTCCACAGGGGGGTCTGGGCGGGTGCCGGGGAAAAGAACCGGGAACAGAGCCGGGCTCGTTTTAAGCCAACAGTCACACACTTCGTGCTCTTCGACCTCCCAGAACTCCATTCCCGGGCCACATTTGAATGCCCGGAGCCAACTGTAGGCCACTTCGTGCTCTTCGACTTCCCAGAACTCCATTCCCGGGCCACATTTTGGATGCCCGGAGCCAACTGTAGGCCACTTCGTGCTCTTCGACTTCCCAGAACTCCATTCCCGGGCCACATTTTGAATGCCCGGAGCCAACTGTAGGCCACTTCGTGCTCTTCGAGTTCCCAGAACTCCATTCCCGGGCCACATTTTGAATGCCCGGAGCCAACTGTAGGCCACTTCGTGCTCTTCGAGTTCCCAGAACTCCATTCCTGGGCATGATTTTGAATGCCCGGAGCCAACTGTAGGCCACTTCGTGTTCTTCGAGTTCCCAGAACTCCATTCCCGGGCCACATTTTGAATGCTGAGGCAGGCTGATGCTGAGGCTGAGGCAGGCTGAGGCTGAGGCAGGCTGAGGCTGAGGCCGAGGCTGAAGGCAGACTGAGGCTGAGGCTGAAGCAGGCTGAGGCTGAGGCTGAGGCAGGCTGAGGCTGAGGCTGAGGCAGGCTGAGGCTGAGGCAGGCTGAGGCTGAGGCTGAGGCTGATGCAGGCTGAGGCTGAGGCAGGCTGAGGCTGAGGCCAAGGCTGAAGGCAGACTGAGGCTTTGGCTGAAGCAGGCTGAGGCTGAGGCTGAGGCTGAGGCTGAGGCTGAGGCTGAGGCAGGCTGAGGCTGAGGCTGAGGCAGGCTGATGCTGAGGCAGGCTGAGGCTGAGGCTGAGGCTGATGCAGGCTGAGGCTGAGGCAGGCTGAGGCTGGAGGCCGAGGCTGAAGGCAGACTGAGGCTGAGGCTGAAGCAGGCTGAGGCTGAGGCTGAGGCAGGCTGAGGCTGAGGCTGAGGCAGGCTGATGCTGAGGCAGGCTGAGGCTGAGGCTGAGGCTGATGCAGGCTGAGGCTGAGGCAGGCTGAGGCTGAGGCCGAGGCTGAAGGCAGACTGAGGCTGAGGCTGAAGCAGGCTGAGGCTGAGGCTGAGGCAGGCTGAGGCTGAGGCTGAGGCTGAGGCTGAGGCTGAGGCTGAGGCTGAGGCAGGCTGAGGCTGAGGCTGAGGCTGATGCAGGCTGAGGCTGAGGCAGGCTGAGGCTGAGGCCGAGGCTGAAGGCAGACTGAGGCTGAGGCTGAAGCAGGCTGAGGCTGAGGCTGAGGCAGGCTGAGGCTGAGGCTGAGGCTGAGGCAGGCTGAGGCTGAGGCTGTGACTGCGACTGCCGTTGCCACTGCGACTGTCATCGCGAATGCGACTACGACTGCGAGAACAGCAGAATTCTACAACTGGATTCTCATCCGAATCTTAAGGGGAATGCTTCCAGATATGCTCCTACACATCGCTGTTAGGTGGTTTTGCCGGGATAATTTTGAATACTCCTCCTCTAGAGGGACAGGCCCGACTTAAAGTCAGGGCATGATGAGGGACGGAGGCAGGAGGCCCTCTTGGGACACGTCTCCAGGATCGAGGTCGAGGGCTCCAGCTCGAACAAGTCGAGTCGCAACGGGGCTCGACCCGAAAAGCCTCTTCTGCGATCGCCTTGTTGTATTATTGTTGTATGTGTTATGTTTCATGTGTTGCTATTGATGTGTGTGTGTGCTTGTTATTATGTGTTCAGTTGTTATGTAATGTGTGTTGCATGTTTGCTATATGCTTAAAGCTGCTGTGTCCTTGTGCTCGTTTTCTTGTCCGTTTTGTGCTCGTCTTCTCTCGCTCCGTCCTCTTGCCGCCCCTGCTGCAGCACGAGGCCAGCACGAGAACGGTCCACGAGGGCCGCCAGAAAGCCCCGCCTGGGCCGAGCCCCGGGTCGCAGTGAGGGCAGCCGCTGGCCGGCAACAGAAGCGCCAGCAAGCTCGCCTCGACGAGGGGTGCGCCGATCCGCGCGGAATGAAGGGGCCCCAGGACAAACAAATAAATACACACAAATAAAAAGATTCCCCATATTTTCCTATATTTTCTGGGTTTCTGTCTTCCCCCCCACTTCCCGTATTTTCCCATATTTTCTGGGGAATCGCCGATTAATTGTGTCTGTATGTTTTTTCCCTCCTGAATGAAGGGCGACACGCCGCCCCCGGCCCAGAGGGCTCCAAAGGGGCTTTGGGGGGAGGGGGTCTTCCAGAGAGCCCCCCCTGGGGGTGCCAAGCCCCTGGGGGACCCCTGCCCTGGAAAACCCCCTCCCCAAGAATCGGGGATCTTCTGACCCGGGTCAATCCAGACCCGGGTCAGCAGGAAACCAAAAACTGCAATGCAGGAAAAAAAACTGCAACGCAGATCTTCGCAAACCCGGGTCAGCCAATAAGCGCGGCCGCCTCGCGGCCACGAGCGGCTCGCAGACCCGGGTCAGCCAGAGGGGGTCTTCGCAGGATCCTGCAGGATCTGGCGCCCTAGCTGACCCCCGTTTGCATTGACCCCCGTCTCAAGGCTCCCGAAAAAAAACCCGTTGGAAACCTCCGGCCAACCTGAAGGGGCACACGAACAAACACATACGAGTAAAAAGACTACCCCTATTTCCCACTACTTCCTAGGCTTGTGTCCTCCCCACCACTTCCCATAGTTTCCCACATTTCTGGGGAGTCGACGATGAATTGTGTCTGTGTGTTTCTTTCCCTCCTGACAGCCGTGGCGACGACGGGGTCCAACAGGGCCGGCGAGACCGGAGCTGCCCGGCCGCCGTGCCACCCGCCCGCCCGCGGCCACGCCCGCTGCCAGACCCAGGGGACCAGCGACGGCGGCGCCCTCCTGCCCTGCCCGCGCGCGCGCACGCCCGCACGTGCGCGTGGACACCGCGAGGAGCCGGTCTCTTGGGATGCGCGCGGCAGGAAGGGGGGGCAGGAGGAGGAGGAGGAGGAGGAGGAGGAGGAAGAGAGGAGGAGGAGGAGGAGGAGGAGGAGGAGCAGGAGAAGGAGGAGGAGGAAGAGAGGAGGAGGAGGAGGATGAGGAGGAGGAGGAGGAGGAGGACGAGGAGGAGGAGCATGAAGAGGTCAGGGCCCCGAGGGCTGGCGCCGAAAAAAAAACGCCGGCCGCG